GCGGCGCGGCAGCCACGGCGGGCGGAGCCCCGGCGGCACGCCGCCAGGGGGGGCCCCGAGGGGTCAGCCTGGGCGAGCGCGGGGAGCGAGGCAAGGCATCCAGAGGCGCGGGCGCCGGCAGCGGAGGCGGCGGCGGCGGAGAAGGCGCAGCAAGAGCAGGTCAAGGCCACGGGGACCAATCCTGACGGCTGCAGCAAGCTGTTCTTCGCCAGCGTGACCACCGTGGGGGACGAATGCCGGCGGTTCGTCGAATCGCTTTCGCTGAGGCACATGTTGCAGTCGGAGGCCTGCGGAAGTGGGACATGCGCGCCAGCGAGCTCAGTATTCGTTTGCTTGCAAACAAAGCCCGACCATATCCCAACGTTGTTAGTCGGGCTAGAGCTCCTTGTTCGAATGAAGGTGGTCAATGCGTACTTCGCAGAAGCCATTTTCGGTGTGGCCAATTCGCAAAAGCAAAACCAGAGCATATGACAGCCGTTCAAGCAGAGGGTCATGTGTGCTGGGACGGTTTCATGCCTAGGATGATTGTCGGCCGTTGGCGGACAGGTAATTCGCGCGGGCACCAGTCGACACCGCCTGCTCGTCGGATGCGAAGGGCTTGACCTGATGTTGCCTGTGGAGCGTGACGAGATCAGGAGAGCGACTAAGAAAATGAAAGCCAGCTATGGACAAGGGGTGGATCGCAACACCCCCGCAAACTATGAGAGGCAATCATATTCGGCCTTGCGGGAACTGTCTAGTCTGTTTGCCGGGGTCGAGCATTGTTTGCGCTGGCCTGTTAAAACGCAACTATTTATCGGACACATGATGCCCAAGTCGCGGGATGATGGAGACTGGGTTGTAGGGCTGCTGTCCATGTTCGGTCGCATCTGGTGCCAGGCCAGAGACCCCCAGTTAGCTGAATGGGCAATGTCCACGGAGCCTGGATGGGGCGGCTGTGGAAGGAAATGCGGCATTGAGAAAAGCGTTTGTGAGGGTGCTCGATGAAGAATTAGCAGCCAAACTGGACAGACCTTTGGGACAGGGGCTCATGGAAGTCGAAGGACTCTATGATACGACTACCTGGTGCATGTTGATGTCGTGTTCTTTGAGGCTGGATTTCCCGCGCAGGTGCTGTAATTCGAGCTGATTCAGCGTGCAGCTCCTAGCACACTGCGACAAGCAAGATCCTTTTTCTTCTGAGCCGTTCGGTCCAAATCAGGCAGTGATGCAAGGATTACGATCCGGAGCCCTGTCAACGAGAACGATGGTGTTCTCTTTGCTGTAATTAATAACGGTAGCGCGTCCACAGCTTTCGCGCGGGATTTGGATCGACGACCTCAGCCAGACTATGAAAGGATCCAAGTCAATGATACGCAGGAAACTTGCACACGTGTCGAGGGAGACGTGTGAGAATTTCGAGGAACAGGCTGCTGGTGGCGGTCAAGAGTGCGGCGGTTTGTTCCTGTATGGGAGAAGCTCGTCGTATTGCTCGGTGGGTCCGCAGCGCAGCTTGCCCACTGGAAGTGGGACCTCATCTTGCATGCCCCAGGGTGGACTTGACGGGCGGACGTAGACATGATCGAGCGGTGCGGACATAACGGATGAGCATGTCTGGTTCGATGCACAGCAATATCAAGAAATTTGCGGCGGAATCCAGGAAGTACAAGACGATGGTGAGGTTAGAGAAATACATGAGGCGCATGTGCAACTGGATCCTATGGATATCAGTTGCACGGAACTTTTGGGAATAATATTCAAACATTCAGAATGAGATTCGGAGCCATTTCTGCAGCTCCCAGAGCAGGGATATGCCTGACAACATTGCTGGGACTCAGATGCCCTGAGGCTGACCCAAGGGTTAAGTTGCCGGCCAAATGTCTTCATCTATGGTTCAGGATGTGGGCTATGCAGCCAGCTATAAGGAAGGTGTGGCAAACGACAATCGAGAAACTTATGAAAACTGACCCGTTACGGAGATCACGACATATCGGAGGTCCCTTGTCAGCAGTGATATCGTCATCATTGGAGACAGGATGGACACCGACAACGGCAGAATCGTGGGATCGTGTGGGGGAGGCTTTAGGGGAGATCGTGGCGTGGAACTTCCCGCTCGAGGCTGTCACTTCCTACGCTGCCGTGGACACGGCGGGGGACTTGGTTGCAGAATTTCGCGAGGATCGGCAGATAATTTACTGGAAGCAAGAAAGTCATGCGTTACTGTGGAGGAGGCCTCGAGCAAGGGGCAGATGTGTATAGCTATGGTCAGCTCGTACGCCAATTGAGCGATGCACCCCGCGAGCACCGGCTTTTGGAACTGATGGTGGCGATCGCGACGGGAAGAACATGGCCACGGCAACGTCGTAACGAGTGGGCGCCAACGAAAGTGTTTAACTTTTGTGCGAGGTGCCGCAAGGAGCCCGAGACGATGTTCCACAGAGTCCGGAGCTGTGAGACCAACAAGGACATGGCGGCCTCCACCTTGTCCGACGAGTTCCTCGCGGACGCCCTCAGCCAACGCGAGGCAATTGATGACTCTGGCTGGGGAGGCTCATTCCGCCCAGCTGGACGGAGGTCCCTCAGCCCCGCTCGGAGCCCGACTGAAAATGTGGTGGAGGTAGCATCTCTTGAGAATGGGTTCCGCTGGTGCTGGCCGACCAGATCCAGAAGTACATTTGGTGATGCTAGTGGGGGCAAGGGTACAATGGTCCCTAGACTCAGGAGGGCAGGAACTGCTGTTGGAAGGCTCGAACCTGATGACGATGATGCTGATGATGATGACGATAATGATGACTGGGACGATGACGATGACGATGATGATGCCGATGACGACGAGGATGATGACGACGATGATGATGGTGGTGACGATGAGCCCTCTGTCTGTTGCAGACACTCTGCAAGGGGCCCCTGGTAGTCACGAGGCCAACTGGCGCTATGGGGTGGGTCGGCTGCTCTGCCGCTCGCGCGTCAGGCCACGCGAGGATTTCTTGTGTAGGTGAGCGTTTTATACAAAATATATAGAAAAATCACCCCGTCAGCCAGTAAGACCGCCCCCTGAAGTTTGTTCTTGTTCGATAGGTGAGCGATACTGTTGGTGTTCCCTCGAAGCTCTACGATGATAAGCATTTGGGCCCAGAAGGCCCAGACGCGGACCTCGTGGAAAGCTCGTCCAAGAAGCTAAGCAGACGAGCGGAACCCGTTGTTGTGCAGTTGCCATTGTATGACTTCCCACCTTGATGGAACAGCCGTGTACAACGGACAGCATCCCGAATGAATGATCCTCAGGAATGTCGCGGCGTATTCTATTGCTGAGACTGCGGCTGAGCAGTCTCGAATCGACGTGTTCGATCGTATTCGGCTGCGTCTTGTTGAAGGGAGAGCGTAAATTCGTTATAGCCTATTGCGTGCCAGCGTGGACACCACTGAGAAGGACAACTACATTTGTATGCGGATGATAGGGGAGAAACACAAGCCACTTGTGGGCGGTGAGTCCTTGACTGTTCCGCCACCACCTGGCCTTTCACAATCCTCGGTTTTTAGCACGTGGCACGTTTGCAGTGAAGACGGCCGATCGTGCACCAGATGTTCCAGCAGCACTTCAAAAGATGAGCTGCTCGAATGGAAATGAACGCATTGCCACACGTTAACTAATTCAGGGGGCGTTTTTCTCTCCCGCAAGGGGCTCGTCTGCACCTGGCGGGGAGGGGGTGGTGGTGGTGGTGGTGAAGGTGGTGGTGGTGGTGGGCGCATGCACCACATCATTTGCGATCCAATTCTGGGCTTAAACTTCGGTTCTGCACTGCTTGCGGTTCGTCCTCCTCCCGTTACTTTGGGCAAGCCTTGTCCTGGACGGATACCAGGCCACAAGCATACCCATCTCAATACTTGCCGCCTGTGAGCGGCCTGAGGTTTTCCACACATGGACCGAGAAAGTCATGGAGGGTGGGGTCTCCTGTAGCGGTCTGGTCGGACGAAGTGATTTTTGCAACATTTCCAAAACGTGGGAGGACGAGGACGAGGACGAGGAGGAGGAGGAGGAAGAGGAGGAGGAGGACGAGGAGGAGGAGGAAGAGGAGGAGGAGGAGGAGGAGGAGGAGAAGAGGAGGAGGAGGAGGTGGAGGAGGAGGAGGGGGGGAGGAGGGGGGGGGGGGAAGGGAGGGGGAGGAGGAGGAGGAGGAGGAGGAGGAGGAGGAGGAGGAGGAGGAGGAGGAGGAGGAGGAGGAGGAGGAGGAGGAGAGGAGGAGGAGGAGGGGGGGGGGAGGGCGATGTGGGAGCGTGGCGCGGAGGGGGAGCTCGCGCGGCCGCCCCCTTCCGTTCTTGAAGTTCGAGGGCTGCCCGCGGGGAGCCCCCTCCCTTTTTCTCGTCTGGCTGGCTGGATCCAATGGCGTAGCCATCGCCTCGCTCACACACGTATCCTCTCTGAACCTGCTCCCCCTCTCCTCGTCCTCCTTCTCCTCCAGCTCCTCCTCCTGCGCTTCCTCCCCGGCCTCTCCCCCACGGGAAGGAGAGGACGACGGCAGGGGGGGGAGGAGGATGAAGAGGATGAGGGGGAGTGAGAACAGGGGAGGGAATGGGGGAGAGCTGGGAAACATTGGGATCATGAGGGGGAGTGGACGGAGGAGGAGGAGGTGGAGGAGGATGAGAGGTAGGAGGAGGTTTAGGACGAGGGGTGGGAGGAGGGGGATCGAGGAGGGACAAAGGAGGTGGTTCTTAGAGGCCTTAAGACGTTCGACGATATTCTCACGAGCGCTAAAGGGTGTAACAAGTTTCCGTCCTCCTCCCCAATGTCCTCCTCAACCTCCCTCCTCCGTCGTCTTCTTCCTTCTCCTCCTCCTCCTCCTCCTCTTCCTACTCCTCCTTCCTCTCCCTCCTTCCTCCTCCTCCTCCTTCTCTTCACCATCCTCCCTCTTCCCCCTTCCCCTTACCCGCCCCCTCTTCCTCTTCTTCTTCTTCTTCTTTTTCACCTTCTGCTCCTTCTTTTTCCTCCTCCTCCTCCTCCTCCTCCTCCTCCCCTTCTTCTTCCTCAGAGCAAAGCAGGCCAAGGCAGCAAACTCTGAAGCGAAGCCAATCAAAGCAAAGCATACGAAGGCGGACGACGGCAAGACGCTCCAGCCGGGGAAAGCTGATCTGTGTTCTGCGACTCAAACTTGTTGCCTTTGTTTCACACTCATCATGGCCTTTCGACGGCCTGCACAAATAATGGCGGATTCTTGTAAGAGGGCTCATTACACGACAGGTCTCGCAGGCAGCTTGTGCGCCTGCTATTTCACATGCAATCTGCCAATGGCCATATACCAGCTGTAAGCGCGACAACATGCCTGGCAAATATGCAACGATTGCGAACTGTACTGTAACGTAACACATATGGGCCAGGAGTGAATTCATGCGGGTCACACTCAGCGCTGCAGCGTGCAGAGACACATCGCGAAACGGCGACTGTCCGTCGGATCACCACACCGTCAGATTGGCAGATGCGGGTGGCAGCCTGCCGCCACGCACCCACTCCGCTCGATGTGCCTTGACGCGGGCTCTGGACGATGCCGACGCTGAAGATGGGTCGTCTTGTCGGCACAGGGCATAGTGAGAGGAACCACCGTGCGCGGTCAGATCAGGAACCCCTGGGTCGTGTCGGCGAGCACAGGTTCGGACGTCGTGTCCAACGTCTCGCTGGCCGTGGTGGTCGCCACTGGCACCTCCACCACAGGGTAGCTAGGCATGACTAGAATGCCACACTCGCCGAGGCCAGCTGGGCCAGGCCCGCGAGCCAGCCGGAAGTAGCCGCCTTCGCCCCAGTGAAGGCCCCAAGAGTTCTGGATGAGCCAATAGTCCTGACCGTTCTCGCTGCCCCAGCCCACCACCACCACCGCGTGGTTGACCTCCGAAGTGCAGGATGCGGAGAAGATGCCGCTTTGGTAGAGCCCCAACCCCCCCGTCGTCTCGACCTGTATTCCGACCGTCACTGGCTGCTTGGCCACCGCGTCCATCAACGCCGCCTCTGAGCTCGCCTCCACGTCCATGTATCCCAGCACGGCTCCCTGGGGGATGCCCACCTCGCAAATGCGGGGGCCGCACTCGAACGGCCAGGAGCGGTACGGGTAGCTCTCGGCGGTGCAGAGCGGCACCAGGTGGGCGTACTCGTAGGTCCCGTCGAACGCGCCGCCGCCGCACCCCGTGTTGCCGAACTCCTCCCCGGCGCAGTCCAGCAGCTGCTGCTCGCTGACGTTCACCATCTGCTCCGAGGCGATCCCCCACGCGCTGGCCAGCGCGCTCGCAGACGCGAAGGTCCAGCACGCACCGCAGCCGCCTTGCTGCCTCGGGGGGTTCACCTTGCCCCTCGACCGCCAATCCAGGCTGGCCGGCAGACCGCCGCCGCTGCCCAAGAGGCCGGGCACAACCCCTGCCCGGTGGGTCCCCAGGCTGCCCGGCTGCCGCCCCGGCGCCCGGCTCCGCCCCGCCCCCGGCCGCAGGCCGAGCAGCTGCCGCGAGAACTCGGACGCGCTCAGGTCGGCCAGGTGGTTGAGGTGCAGCCTCGGAGGAGCAAGAGCGGCGCAGGCATGAACTCTCAGACCTTCGACGTGCGCAGAAGGCATCTCTACACCACCGCCGTGCCAGGCCAGGGCCATCCTAGCCCTGGCCTGGTGTGTGCGCCATCCTGGTCGAGGCCAGGAGAGTCTATACACTATCCTGGCTCCCAGGATGGCCCTGGCCTGGCACGCTGGTGGTGGTGGTGGTGGTGGTGGTGGTGGTGTATAGCTGCCTTCGTCGGACGAAAAGTTAAAACCTATGCCGCTTTCTCTGTTCTTCGACGCCTGTGCGAGCTCGGCCTGGTGGCGTGCTCCCCGATGGCCCGCACGCTCTCGCGGAAGTTCGCCAGGCGCTCCCGCCACTCCGCCCCGACGTACTTCTTGCCGTGCTCCCGCAGGCACTCCTCGAATTGGGCCGTCAAGGCCGCGTCCTCCACTGGGGCGCCGGCTACCGCAGCGGCCGCCGCGGCGCCCAGGACGGCCCGCGCGAGCCTCGCCGCCGTCGCCATGCCTGGGAGGATGCGTGGGTACGTCCGGCGTGCAGAAACTGCGCGGCCGCACGACTGAGCTTGAGCCAACGACTCGGACGCTTCACGTGCTCGGCGCAATCCTGGGTTCATGCCAGCGCGTGCCACGCGCTCGGGTCTGACTCTGTCCTGTTGCGGGTGCACGACGGCTGCTTGTCTCTGGTCTTTTCCTGCCCTCATCCTGTGGCTGCTGCTGCTCCTGCTCCGCGTCGGCGCCACGGAGCCGACCCCTCCCCTCCCCTCCCCTCCCCTCTCCTCCCCTCCCCTCCCCTCCCGCTGCTTGGAGCCTCCGACCGCGCTCGTGCAAGCGGCGGCTTGCTGCTGGAGCCCGCTGCGTCCCCAAACCTCCACCGCATTGAACAAATCATGGGGGTTTCCGTCGTTTTCGGCGTCAGGGGGCCGTCGCCGTGCCCCGGGGACCGCCAAACACTGCTCTCACATGCAAAGACGGCCCCGGAGGAAAGGGTCAG